AATTTGAACAAAAAGCTTGATTTGATACTATGAGTCATTCCAATGCTTTTATCAAATTTTCATTGAAATTTTTTATTCCAAATTTCACTTTTTATCAATTTTGATGAAAAAAAACTCAGATTCAATCCTTCATATTTTAACAATTTTATCAAATTTAAGTGAAAAATGGCTCATTGAAAATCAAGTGAAAGATTTGGTTCGTCTTTAATTTGATGAAAAATTTACTTTTCCTTTAATTTGATACAAGTTTAATGAAATGATTGGATCTTATTTTTACCAAAATTTTCATTAAATTTAAATTTGATAAAGGATTGTAAATTCCCTTAACCATATAAGCTAAAAAAAAAATTAAAAAATTAAATAAATAAAATTGATAATTTAAAGATGTAACCAAAAAAAAAAAAAATTTGAAAATAAAAAGTAAAATTAACCCAATGTGATAAATAAGTGGTTCTCGTTTCTCAGCTCGCATGCCATGCCACGGCCTCGCCCGCAGGCCATGCCACGACGTTGCCCAGCATATCATGCTACCGCGTTGCCCGGCGTGCCATGCCTTAGCCTTGGCCAACATGCCAAGCCACGGCCTCGGCCAGCTTGCCATGCCATGCCACAGCCTCGGCCCGCATGCCTTGTCACGACATTGCCCAGCATGTCACGCCACCGCGTTACCCGACGTGCCATGTCTTAGCGTTGGCCAACATCCCATTTCCGTGAACTCAATAATTAATCACCGTACATTCGCAGCATCTTGTATTATAATCACATGGTCGTACATTTCCAGCACCAGTACTATAATTTTGAATGGTCCACTGAAAAGGGCAATTAAACAAAAAGAAATAATGAAAAACATTTTGTTTGGAATTTTTTAAAATATTATTTTGAGTTTTTAATTCTTATTTTTGTATTTTTAATAATTTTTCAAAATTATTTAATTTAATTTTTTTACTGTTTAGATCTACTTAATTTTGTTATACTTAAAAAGTATAAAATTGGTATAAAAATCTTTTAAAAAATTATTGAATACAATAAAATATGAAAATATATTAAATTTTCTTATTTTTCTTATATTTTTTGTATTTGGTAATTTTTTTTAAAATTATTATATCTTTTAAGTGTATCTAGATTAGGTGTATCTAAAAACTTAAAAATTAAAAATTTGCATAAAATATTAAAAAAATCACTAAAAATAAAAAATGCAGAAAAAAAGAAAAAATTTTAGAAAAACGGAGATAACAAAATGTTGTGAAGTTTAAAGTTTTAGAAAAAAGTATCACATTAATATTACTGGCTCAGACTTAACAATCTAGAATTTATGCAGAATTTTTATTTTGTTATTCAGATTTATTTTATACATAAATCTTATACCACATAAATTTAATCACAATTAAATAATCTCATTCAGAGTAAATTTGAAGTAGATAAGGTAGGATACATACATTTGTTCTTATTATGATATGTGGATTTCAAGTAGATAAGGTAGGGTACATACATTTGTTCTTATTATGATATGTGGATTTTAAGTAGATAAGGTAGGGTACATACATTTGTTCTTATTATGATATGTGGTTAAATCGTGTCTCGTGAAATTTATGCATAATAAGACAATGATGTTTTTGAGTAAAATTATGAGTCTATGGTATTATTAAGATCTATTTTGAAAATATGGTTGAAAGTTAATTTTTTTATTTTTTTATTTTTTTAAAAAAAACGTGTAAAAAATATAAAAGATAATGTGATCTAAAATAAATTAAAAATTAACTTTTAACTTTTTTAACTTTTCTTAAAAGAGCCCTAAATTTTGTATTCGAATCTTGTTGTTTACTCGCTAATAAGTCTCATATTTTGGATTTATAATTCATATAGTTTCATATTTTTTTATGACCCATTTAGTCAGTTTGGGTGTATAATGACTCATTTTTCCTCTACATTAGAGTGTTATATTTGGAAAAAATACACTAAAGAGTTTTTAGTGTCACATCATACCCGTCATGTTACAGTGTCACATTTGAGAAAAGTATACTAGTAAAGAGTTTTTAATTGTTTTAGAGTGTCACATTATACCCGCCACATTGGAGTGTCACATGTGACGTTTGGAAAAAGTACACTAAGAAGTTTTTAATTTTTTTAAGAGTGTCGCATTATACCTGCCACGTTGTTACATTTGAAAAAAGTACATTAAGAAATTTTTATTTTTTTGAAGTGTCATATCATACCCGCCACGTTGTCACATTTAAAAAAAATATACTAAAGAGTTTTTATTTTTTTTAGTGTTACATCATACCCACCACGTTATCACGTTTGAGAGAAGTACACTAAAGAGTTTTTATTTTTTTTTTTAAATGTCATATCATACCCGCCACATGTTGTTACGTTCCACCTTGTCACGTTTGATGAAGTACATTAAGAAATTTTTATTTTTTTAAAGTATCACATCATACCCGTCACATTTTTACGTTTGAAAAAGGTAAACAAATGAGTTTTTATTTTTTTAGAGTGTCACATCATACTCATCACGTTATTACGTTTGAGAAAAGGATAGCAATGAGTTTTTATTTTTTTTGATGTGTCACATAATACCCGCCACGTTATCACATTTGAGATAAGTACACTAAGGAGTTTTTATTATTTTTTTTGAAGTAAAAGTTTTAGAGTGTCACATCATATCTGTCATATTATCACATTTAAGAAAAATACATTAAGGAGTTTTTAATTTTTTTGGACTGTTACATTATTAGAGTGTCATATTAGAGTATCACATCATATCTATCACATTAATAAAAAGATATAACTGTCCACTAAAACACTATCAAAATAAAAAATAGGGCCATACGAAAAGAAACTCTCCACTAAAAAAATTTAATAAATCAATAAAAAAAACTTGAGACTAATTAAAATATTTATTTATAAAATAAAATTTATTAATAAATATCCCTTAAAAATACTTGCACATATTTAATCCGTTTATAAAGAAAGCCCATCCACATGTAAGGGAGGTGTCAAAACTATAAGACATGATAAAATTACCTACCTCTCTTAAGATTTTGGCTTGTTTTGGAAAGTAGGAAAAAAAATTAGCTTATTAATTTTTTATTATTTTTTTTGAAAAAAAGGTACAAAAAATAAAAAAAGTGATGTGATTTAAATAAATTAATAAGCCAATAAAGTAACTTTTTCCCTAATTGCCAAAATAGGCCATTAAACTATTAAAAGAACCTGTAATGGATAATGGATAATCTATTTGAATGTCTAAGTTTTGAATTGTACTTTATATTTTTTTGGATTTATTTTTCTTAAATATTTAAAAATATTTAAGAAAATTTTATTTTTTAATTTTAAATATATAAATTCTATTTTAAATATATAATTTTATTTTTTTATTTTAAATATTTTATTTTATTTCTTATTTTTTAAAATATTTTTTAAATTTAAATTTTTTTTGGATCACCTATATATATCTAAAAAAATTTTATTTGACCAATACTTAAAAAAACAACAAAATATTTTTTTTTGAAAAAAGAAAAAAGGAAAAAAATATTTTTCTTCAAAAAAAAATAAACAAAATATTTTTTGAAAAAAATATAAACTAAAAAATAATTTTAAAGAACAAAATAAAAAATTGAATTTAAAAAAAAAAAAAAAGAGTTTTGAAAAGAGTTTGGTTATCAGTTTTGAAATTTTTTTTGAATTGTGTGTTTACCTGTAAGTTTTCAAAATAATTTTTGAATTGAGTTTTGGATTGTATATTTGATTTTGAGTTTTGACAATAATTTTAAAATATTTTGATTAGAATCACAATTCTAAAACTAAATCAAATACTATCCAATATTCTGATTTTTATGACAAACAAAAATAATAATAAATACACAGAGACAAAGCGACCACCATCATGTGCTAACCCGCGTGACTTACCTATCATGGGAGAAGCTACTGGTTGGTGCAGCTCAATGGGCGAAAGGAATGAAATTTAGGATTTTTTGTTAAGTGATTAAAAAATATAAAAAAATATAAAAATTTATAATTGATTTAAATTATGATGTCTTAAGACCAATCAATAATTTTTGTTACCATAGTCAACAAACTAATCGTACATATGTCCACCTTAAAAACATGTGCCCATTTATATAAAAAATTAGCGGTGAGCGGTTTAATTCGATTTTAATGTAAATTAAGAACCAATTATTACTTTATAAAATTTGAAATTACATCGAACCAGGAAAATGTAATTTAATTCGCTTTGAATTCACGATTTTAATCAATTTTGTTATCATTCAGAACACAATTACAATTTGCCCAAAGATCACATAAATATATTATCATTTTATAAATAAAATTGCTTAAATAATTATTACGAGAATACACTTGTAAACAAATGGTTAACAATTTATGAATATTTATAGAATATTAGGGGTTTGTTTGAAATATGGATTGGCTTTTTGACTATTTTAATCTAAGTTAAAAAACTTCGTTTGAGATGAATTTTTTGACTCTTTTGATTTTTGTAAGAGAAAAAATAAAATAATTATGATTTGGATATGACATTTTGTCTTATTGATTTTTTAGCTTATTTTGTCATTTTGTGACTATTTTAGCCCAAGATTAAGGTGCCAAACGAAGGCTAAGAGAATACTTGAGTGTTTGCCGTAACTAACAAATTATATATATGTATATACCTAAATAGTCCGATTGAGTTACAAATTAGAATCATAATTATAAAATTCCGGACCAAACCGTAAAGTACGATTTACCTATTTTAAGAACCAAGACTAAACCATGCATTGATAAAACCAAATCAAACAGTACAGTTTAGTCTGAACCAAACCATTGCGAAATTTTCAATTTTTTTACTCAATCCTATAAGATATATATATATATATATATATAATTTTATCACAAAATATATAATTTTTATAATTTTAAATATGCATACCATAATTTCTTGGGTCATAACTTTTATATAACAATGCAGAACTTGATATACACCTTTACGGGTCCACATTATCTTATAAAGATCAAGAATTTGTGGAGTATATGCTGGAGTAAAGATCAAGAATTTGGGGAGTATCTACCATGGAATTTGTGGAGTATAAAGATCAAGAATTTGTGGAGTATATCCTGGAGTAAAGATCAAGAATTTGTGGAGTATACACCATGGAAGACACTCAAAGAAATGAAAATAATTCACTCATCACTGAGAAAGAAACTAAGCATGAGCTAGACAACGATTTTTTTGATCGGCATGAGCTAGACAACGATTGCCATGATGATGATCTACTTATTGCATCACTTCCCAAAGAAAAGGGATGGCTAGGTCTTGAAGATCATTTTTACCAAGGTTTTTGGTGCCCGGACATCGTTATTCGAGGAGTAATGTCAGTCCAACAACACTTCAAAGCTCAAGACACAGACCTCATACTCATCACCATGCCCAAATCAGGCACCACTTGGTTGAAGGCCTTGGCTTTCGCCATCGCCAACCGCCATGACTACCCTAACACACTTTCTCAACACCCCTTGCTCACTTCCAACCCTCACAAGCTTATCCCTTTTCTCGAATTCAATTCTAATAAAGAAGGTTGTCATATTCGTAGCCTTCCCATTGTCTCCAACTTTCAATCCCCTACGGCTAATATTTTTTCCACCCACATCCCCTACCATTCATTGCCCGACTCAATTAAGAACTCTGGATGTCGCGTTGTCTATCTCTGTCGCAATCCCTATGATGTCTTCGTCTCCACTTGGCACTTTGTGAATAAGGCTAGAGCCGAGAGCTTGGGGCCTTTATCATGCGATGATGCTTTCGACATGTTTTGTAGAGGTGTCATGGGTTTTGGGCCCTTCTGGGATCATGCATTGGGGCACTGGAAGGAGAGCTTGGAAAGGCCTCACAAGGTGTTGTTTTTGATGTACGAGGACCTAAAAGAAGAGATTACCCTTCAAATAAAGAGGCTAGCAGAGTTTATGGGTGTTCCATTCTCTTTGGAAGAAGAAAGAAAAGGTGTGATAGAAGAGACATCCAAGTTGTGTAGCTTCAATAATTTGAGAGAGTTGGAGGTGAACAAATCTGGTTCACTTCTACTATTTGAGAATAAGACGTTTTTCAGGAGAGGTGAAGTGGGTGATTGGGTCAATCATTTGACGCCTGAGATGGTTCAACGTTTAAACAAGATCATGGAAGAAAAGTTGGATAATTCTGGGTTAGTATTTAAAACTAGTTTGTGAAAAATGGTCATTGTCATTTCGTTGGTTGGAATTACTACAAGTAATAGTCTTGGGGTTATAAGTCCCTTACAAGTTTGTATTCTATGTCACATTTGTCTTTGGATTAGAAAGAAGATTAATAAAATCTTATCTCATCTCATTTTTTGTTTGAAAATACTATTAGTGGACTATATGCTATAATATAATGATCATAGTTTGAGGATAATTTTTGTACTTTAACCCCTAATCTAGACCTCCTACTCCTTCCATTTTGTAACCTACCCCTCTTATGAAACTCAATAGTATTTTGTCAATCTAGAGGTCCACTTTAATATATAAACATGGAATTCAAAATTGAACAACATACATAATCCAATCCCATGCATTAATCCCGCCAAACAAGCACAACCATGAAGCATGAGTACTTTGAAAAACATGTCGTACCCATACCGGGTACTTACTGGTGTATGGTATCTCATATGGTACTTTTGCATACGTACCAGGTACACGAAATACGTGCCCAAATTTTTTTCTTCTTAATTTTTGGCGTACCGAGACGTACCTACTATATACCCAATCCTTACCGTACCTTAGTTGAAATAATATTTTCTTCTACTATAGAGATAAAACTCCTTTAATTAGACTTCTTTTTTATTTTTAGTTTTATACTTAGCATGTTTTTAGAATTAAACTGTAGTTTGTAAAATATATTGACATTTAATTTTGATTTATACTTTTACGTTTGGCATTAAATGTTAATTATAAGTTAAATCTTAACAAATTAAACCATTTAATTAATTTTTGTATTACTATAAATTAAAAATAAATATTTTTTTCACAAGCGTACTAAGCCATACCTGTACTTTATTTTTTTTGAATTTTACCGTATCGACATACCCATGTCGTACCAGTATCAGTACTCGTACTCGTACCCGTACCCCTACTTCATAGACAACCAACATGTAATGAGGCTGAATAGACTTCTTTCTTGTTTAAAAACTAAATCATTCAAAAAATTTACTAACTTTAATTCAAAAATTGAACCCAGTGTGCACTAGCTAGGATGATTAAACTACTATACACGTTGCCACCAGAGGCCTCAACCTAAGCCAGACATATACATATAGTTAAAAGAGTAAAAATTTAGATTTCCTAGCATTGTTGCATAGTTAAATCATATATCAAGAATATACATGACACAGCACTGAGTGATGAATGAGTGCACTCAGCAGAGCTCTCTCTCTCTCTCTCTCACAAAGTGACGAAGGAAGCACTAAGCAGAGCATTGAGCAGCGGCCAGAAATTGAAAATTATTAACCGTGACTTGGCGGCGACTCACTCACTCTCTCACACTCTTCTCACAGTAAGTTTTTTTTCTCTCTCCCTCTTTCTCTCTTACTATCATATTTTAATAGAATAAATAAATTTATTCTAATTTTTTTTTACCCTCTTTTTTTATTAGATTTTAGTGGAATAATAAATTTGTCCTATTTTTTTTTTTACTTTCTTTATTTATCAAATTTTAGTGAAATAAATAGTTTTGTCCTAATTTTTTTTACCCAGGTCTTTATCAGTTTTAATTGAATAATTTCTCTAATTTTTTTGCCCTTCATCAAATTGTTTTTTTATTATTTATTTGCTATCATATATGAGATAATTAGTAGATTTTAATTTGTGGATTGAATTGTGATTATAGTCATGTTTCCTTGGAAGTATAATTCTGGAAATAAAAAGAGAGAGAAGAAGCTGAAAGTAGAACAATTAATTCAATCTCAATCGAGAATACTTGATAAATATTTTGGTAGCAAGAAACAAGTAAATATTTACAAGTTCGGTTGATGAAAATTTGGTAATTGAATAAACTAATCAATGTACAAATGATAATGATGATGAAGATTAGGTAATTGAAGAACCTACTCAATGTGTAAATAATAATGAGGATGAGGATTTGGTGATTGAAGAACCTAGTGAACATATGAATGAGAATAAGAATGAAGATTTGGGGAATGTAGAATCTAATGAAAGTGAAGATGTCAACGTGGAATGTGGACCTCTAAACATTTATGACCCAAGTAATTGGGACAAGATTGATCAAAATTTAAAAGATTGATCAAAATTTAAGAGATTTATTAGTTGAAAGATGTCTTATAAGAGGTAATGGTGTGAATTTTCCCCTAGATGACAAAGATAGGCATTTTTCTTCTACATTTTACTTGCGATAGTTATAAAATGGAGAGGAGTAGAATAGGAAGTGGCTAATATATCCAGATGCTTCAGAGAAAGTATTTTGCTTTTGTTGTAAGTTGTTTAAGCAAGATGGTAACAATATTTATTTGGCTACTGATGGATTGAAAGATGATTGGAAGAATATGGGGAACATGCTTAGAAGTCATGAAACTAGCAATGAGCACTTTATTTGCATGGGCAAATGAATTGAATTGGAAAGTAGATTGACGCAAAATGAAACAATTGATAGAAGTGCTCTAGAACAAATCAATAAAGAGAGAGAACACTGGAGACAAGTGTTGCTAAGGATAATTTCTATTGTGATCACTCTTGCTAAAAATAGTTTAGCTTTTTGTGGAGACAATGAGAAGATTTATCAAAAAAGAAATGGAATCTTTTTAAACTTAGTTGAAATGCTTGCCAAATGTGATCTAGTAATGCAAGAGCACATCCAACTTATTCAAAAGAGTGAAATTCATTACCATTATCTTGATCACAAAATCCAAATGAATTGATACAGATGTTAGCAAGTGAGATCAAGAGTACGATTGTGGCAAGAATCAAAAAAGCAAAATATTTTTCAATTATTTTTTATTGTACTCCAGATGTTAGTCATGAAGAACAAATGTCTCTTGTGATAAGATGTGTAGATGTTTCAACTAGTCCGGTAAAGGTAGAAGAATTCTTTTTAGAATTTTTTAAGGTGGATGATACATCGAGGTTGGGACTTTTTAATGTACTTAAAGAGGCATTGCACACACTCCAACTTAATATTGGTGATATAAGAGGGCAATGATATGATAATGGCTCTAATATGAAAGGGAGACACAAAGGTGTACAAAAAAAGTAGTTGAAATAAATCCAAGAGCATTCTACACGCCATATGGATGTCATTGTCTTAATCTTGCCCTTTGTGATATGCCTACCTCTTGCTCCAAAGCTATCTATTTCTTTAGAGTGGTACAACACATATATGTGTTGTTTTCATCTTCTACAAAGAGGTGAAAATTTTTCAAAGACAACGTGAAAAGTCTCACACTTGAGCCATTATCACAAACTCATTGGGAAAGTTCGCATTGAAAGTGTTAAAGCTATACAATACCAAGCTCCAAAAATAAGAGATGCTTTAATTCAGTTGGAAAAAGAATCTAATGAACCCAATACAAAGTGTGAAGCTCAATCCTTAGTTACATCTGAAATTGAGAATTTTGAATTTTTGCTTGGTATGATTATCTGGCACAATCTGTTGTTTGCTGTCAACTCTATTAGCAAGTCATTTCAAGCTGAGGAGATGCATATGGATGTTGCTATACATCAATTAAAAGGACTCATTACATTTCTTGAAAAATATAGAGAAATTGGATCTATGGAGGCCACGATTGAAGCTAAATAAGTTGCAACTGAAATGGAGATTGAACCTATATTTCATGAAATGCGTGTCATTTGTAGAAAGAAACAATTTGATGAGAATGTTAGTGAAGAGGTTACACAATCAACTGAAGAATCCTTTAGAGTTAATTACTTCATATATATAATAGATCAAGCTATTTCTTTACTTAAGAGTAGATTTGAACAATTTCAAATATATGAAGAAACTTTTAGATTTTTGTTTGACTTGAAAAAATTAAATTCTACCAGTGATGAGTGCTTGAAGACTTATTGTGCTAATCTTGAAGATTTTTTGAAACATGGACTTATGGATGTTGATGTGAGAGATTTATTTTCTGAGTTAAAAATCTTCAAAGAAGTTTTGCCAAAAGAAATCAATAGGCCAATGGAAGTGATGAATTATTTGGAATTGATGGATGGTTGTTTTCCAAATGCCTGGATTGTGTATAAAATATTGTTGACTATTCCAGTTACCGTTGCCTCTAGAGAAAAAAGTTTTTCAAAGTTGAAATTGATCAAATCCTACCTTCGATCAACAATGTCATAAGAAAAATTGAATGGATTAGCTATATTGTTTATTGAAAAGGATTTGGTAGATAAATTAGATTATACAAACTTAATTAGTGATTTGTAGCTAAAAATGCGAGAAGAGTAGTATTTAAGTGATAGTTGATTCAATTGTAAATTGGATATTGCTAAACTATAAAGTAACAAAACCAGTTTTTAATGTTTTTGAGTCATTGTACTGATTTATTCCTATCTTAATATATGAAAGTAAATTTTAGTTTATAATTTTAATGATTATCTGTGCAAGTAAACTTAAATAAAAAAACTTGTTGATACTTATCATTTTATACGTAAATTTTTTTATTAAAAAAAATATATGTAAGAGGGGCCCTATTTTCATAATTCGCTTTAGGCCTCACAAATCTCAGGGCCAGCCCTGGGTGTAGAGGTGGTGGTGGTGCTCCTCTGTGGAGGAGCTGAATCGAGAGAAGCGTGGTGGTTGTTCGAATCTGTAGATTTGAGGCGGAGATCTATAGATCTGTGTGGACTTTGGCAGCGGCAGCAACAACGAACAACGAATGAAGACAGCGAGGATGAGAGACGGCGATGAAGGAGGATGAAGAGGTGGCGGCAGCAGGGGGAGTAAGAGAGAGGGAGGGCTGTGACGGAGGTGGAGAGGACGGTAAAATCGACAGAGGTGAAGCCGTGGTGCAAGGTGGATAGTGACTTCGGCGTCGCGGAAGTGGTGGTGGTGCGGAAGAGGAGAAAAGAGGGTAGAGAGAGAGAGAGATGGATTGTGATTTGTTTGGGTTGAACCATGTATATGATATATTTAGGGTAAATTATGCAAATGCTCTCTGTGGTTTATACGATGTGTCAATTTGGTCCCTGTTGTTTCAAGTTGCTCGATTTTGACTTTTAATTTAACAGATTGTGTCATTTTAGTACAATAAATAATAGCTATTAAGTTTGGTGGATGGAAAGTCAAACTATGTGTCAATTTGGTCCTTGTAGTTTACACAATGTGTCAATTTGATCCCTATTGTTTTAATTTGCTCAATTTTAACAGGAACTAAATTTACACATTGTGTAAACTGCAGGGACCAAATTAATACATAGTTTGACTTTCCGTCCATCAAACTTAACAACCGTTATTTATTGGACTAAAATGACACAATCCGTTAAATTAAAGGGCAAAATCGAGCAAATTGAAACAATATGGACTAATTTGACACATCGTGTAAACTACAGGGACTGTTTGGAAATGGTCTAAATTCAGGGTTGGTTTGGACAAAGTGTTTCAATACCTTGACCTTTGGCCAAACAAAATTGGAATGTATACTTTTGGATTGGATGCCCTAATAATTTACCCTTCTTTAATCATTTTTTTTTAACTTTGTGGATTGCTTAGGCTAGAACAGCTAAGACCTTAGTTATTTTATATATGTATATTATCATATATAAAGCCCTAATAATTTACCCTTCTTTAATCATAGTTTTATTAACTTTGTGGATTGCTTAAGCCAGAACAACTAAGACCTTAATTATTTTATATATGTATATTATTATATATAAAGTATTTAGCACGTTTTCTGAAATCCAAGATACTTCAGCGATTATTGAACTCTTGCACCTTATTAGTAAGTCAGTAGTTCGAATCTTATTACCTACATTTTCAATCTCCTTAACCACGTGTGGGTCTTATTCAAAGATTTAATTTTTCATTTTCTCCCCACTTTTACATGTTTTTTAATAGAAAGTCAAAAAATATCTTAAACATACTATTTTTTTTCACCTCATATTTTAGTCAAAAAATCAAAAAATTACTAAAATAGACCATTTCCAAACCAACCCTGAATCAAGATGGCCGACTTTTATTCTATCTTATTATAAATTATAAATTATATAAATCTTTATACGTACATGATATCTGTTGAGTTTCTCTCGAATTCAAATATCAACTTGAGAGAACTTGAGGAGCCTGCTAGGCCCATTACGGGCCCCCTTTCGATGATCCGAAGCATTCATTCTGTAAGACCCTTGGTGTATATTATCCATGAAATAAAAAAAATTAAATCAATCTTATAATCATATTATTTTCATTTTATTATACACCATTGGGGTTATGGAAGCTTAATTTTGTGGTAAAAGATCTAAGAACAGTAATGTTATTTGCACAAAAATGAAAGGGTAAATTACACTTAACACTTTCACATTTTTATCAAAATCTCACTTTAGAAACCAAACAAGCTTTGGTTGATGGTTTCAAAAATTCTATAGGTATAAACAAAAAAACTGTAAATATAAACTTTAAAAAAAAAAATGCTCTAGTGTTTTGTTTTTTAAAGCAAGGTCAAGATCAAGAATTCTTTGGGAGCATTGGTTATTATTATATATATAGAACATTGGGTTATGCAGGCATCCAAAACCATTGAGCATTGGCTTATATACATACAACATTGGGGTTATGCAGGCTTTCAAAACCATTATCAAGATCAAGAATACTGAATTTGCGGATTACCTACCATAGCAACATACCCTCCCCACCTTCCCCGGAAAACACTCAAGGAAGGAAAAGCAATCCAATCATTAGAGACAGAGAAGAAGAAGATTGCCATGACAATCCACTAGAATTGCTTCCCAAAGAGAAGGGATGGACAGGTCTGGATCTCTATCTCTACCAAGGCTTTTGGTGCCCCTCAATGCACATTTAAGGCATAATGTCTTTCCAACAACACTTCAAAGCTCAAGACACCGACCTCATACTCGCCACCATGCCCAAATCAGGCACCACCTGGTTGAAGGCCTTGACATTTGCTATCGCCAACCGTCATCGCTACACCAACACCCTTTCCCAACACCCCCTTCTCACTTCTAACCCTCACGACCTCATCCCTTTTCACAAGACCAATCTCTCCGCTAATAAAGACAGCCATCAAGGTAGTCGTATTCTAAACCTCTCCAATTTTCAATCTAGTATTTTCTCCACCCATATGCCATACCATTCATTACCTGACTCAATCAAGACCTCTAATTTTTTTGTTGTTTATCTCTGTCGCAATCCCTACGACTCCTTTGTCTCCGCCTGGCACTTCTTGTCTAAGCCTAGACCAGAGAGCATTGAACCTCTATCGTTTAATGATGCTTTTGACATGTATTGTAGGGGTGTTATTGGTTTTGGGCCCTTTTGGGACAATGTATTGGGGTACTGGAAGGAGAGCCTGAAGAGGCCTCAAAAGGTGTTGTTTTTGATGTACGAAGACTTGAAAGAAGATATTATTTTTCAGATGAAGAGGCTAGCAGAGTTTACAAGTGTTCCATTCTCTTCAGAGGAAGAAAATGAAGGTGTGATAGAAGAGATATCAAGGTTGTGCAACTTTAACAATATGAGAGAGTTGGAGGTGAACAAAACTGGTAAATCCATTAGACACTTTGAGAATAAGACGTTCTTCAGGAGAGGTGAAGTGGGTGATTGGATCAATCATTTTACACTTGAGATGGTGGAATGCTTGAACAAGGTCATTGAAGAAAAGTTGGGTGGTTCTGGGTTAGCATTCAAGACTAGTTTGTGAAAATTTACTATGTTTGTTTCGTTGGACAAGATTACTAAAACTAATAAGTCCGGGAATTCCATCTTATGTCATGTTTGTTAGAAATGGTCTCTAGGAATTGGACTGTTGTTTGTCATGCTTAGTGCCGGTTGTGATGTGTTGTAGTTTTGTTTCTTTGGTCTTTAGATTTGTATTTTCGGACTTTGTAAGAGGACTTCTTGTCCTCCCTTTGCTAGCATCTTTGTTTCAATAAAATTGATTTTTTGTTGCTCAAACAAACAAAAAAAACTATAATCTGAGAATATTTTAGTCTTTCAACCCCCTAATCTGGACCCCCTTAATCCTTCTATTTTGTATCTCATCCCCTCCTATAAGACTCAATAGTCGCTTATAGGGAGGATATAAAGTCCAAAAGGGACTGTCAATCTAGAGGTCCACTTTAATATATAAATGTGAAATTCAAGATCAAGCAAGATATATAATCCAATCCCGTGCATTAATCCCCCCCACAACCAATATGTAACAAGGATGAATGGACTTACTCTCTAGTTTCAAAAACTAACTGTTCAAAACATAATTTATAATTTCAATCCAAAAAATTTCCAAAAAGTTTTTACTTGACCTTAGTATTATGCAAGCCTCCAAAAAATAGTTACGTCAGCAGGTCTAAACTTATATAATGCCCAATCTGTTTGTGCTTCTAACTTAAGGTAAAAAATATCCAAACATCATCTTATGTGTTACCATTTCATTGGTCTAATTGATAGGCTCCACCGCTCACAAATGTTACCAATGTAGTGAAGGTAAATGTAATCATCATCATAAAAATATTGGTATGTTAACAACTTAAAACCAGTATTTCCTATCGGATAGCTACTTTGATCTTTCTATGTGTGTAACAAAACACCTCCTCCCCTACCCACACCGGGGGAGAAATTCGAGTCTCACCGCTACAAATGAAGCTTCCCCTTCCCTTACTTCTCTCCTACCAATTATTAAAAAAATGCATCATAAAACATTTGAGTAATTTTTATTTTTGCTTCCAATTCAAAAGGTGGGCAAAAATCTAATTAAATTAGATTCCAAGATTTTTATTCAACCAATTTCAGTGAGGTTCATTTTAATTTCGGTGTGTGCTAAAAAAAACATGTATTATTTAAATTTTATAGCAAGAGAAAAATACTTGTTTCTCAAAAACATTATATACAATATTAATAAACATACAAGAAAATGAGGAAAAATTCAAGAGAAACATTAAACAGAACTCACCAGCTTTTATCATATTCCGACAGCATCAAGAAGCTCTGAGTGTTGAGACACAGAAACCAATGAGTTTGCAACAATGGCGCCACTAGCAGCAACTGCTGGGACTTCGATACCAGGGAATGTAGAATCACCGCAGCAGTAAAGCTGTGGGATCAGAGTTGAATGTCCGGGAAAAGTGCCTTTACCGGCCTATATAGCTGGCCCATAACTTCCTCTATCCCTCCGAAGAAACCTTCGATGTGTCAAGGGGGTTCCAACCAACTTTACTTCACACTTCTCACGATCAAAACCTGAACCAACAGCACGCTCCACGGCCCTCCACAAGACCTGGATTGGTAAGGAATAATAAGAACTGCTTTAATAGGAAAAATAATTATCTTTTTCATACACTATTATTCGAAAATAATCTGATGGCACATGAGCATTTGAGAATTTCAAAGAATAAAGGAGAACAATCAGGGATATTAGCAAGGTAGCTAATAGGAAACTCAAAAATTAAGTTGACAACATTCCAAGAATACACAGAAATATGAACTTCTGACTCCAAAATTATATGCAATTTTGATCATTTTTTTAGAGAAACTCAAAGACATGATGGTTCAAATATTGTCACGTCATACATGGTAAAATCAAGTTGCTTCAATTATTGGAAAAATTATGTACACCTTGAGACTTTCTTGAGAAGTTCCACCATGGGTAAAAATCAAAAGAATGCCAAAACTTATGAACAGGGCTCCCACTTACAATAGGGTTTGGGAGAGATAGTAAGTAAGCAGCTTTCCCTCCACATTTTTGTGGAGAGGCTGATTCACGTGACTCAACCCCACGCCATAGCACGCAGAGATGATAACACTTGTCATCGCTCTAGGTGACAACCTCCAATGCCAAAATTTATGCATACCATATATATTGTTCTTAAATTTGACAATTAACTAGAAAACATTGGGTCTAACTAAACAGATCAAGCTTTAAGATGCAAATAAAAAACCTAATCAGCAAAAAAAAATGTAAAACTCCCTCAACCTCAATAACATAGTCAAATTCTAAATGGACTGTCATTAAAATGTTTCATAATAAGTTATCCGAACTTGCTCTATTATTCCTTCTGATAATGTTGAATTTCACGACTTTCAATTAGTGCATTTGTCATGAATGACAACATAAGAAAAGCCAATGACAAAAGTTGCCAGTAAGCATACCTCAGATCTTTTAGCTTTGAGTTCTTTGTATTCAGCACTTTCACGATCAAGTCCTCCCAGAGTCCAAACGGTTTGGTTCCTGGCATATAGGCATGTAACACGTGTTTCCCAGGGGGTGCAAGATTTGGACTAAGCACAATGGGTATAGATATTAAAACAACATTTTGATCAGCATTGACTCCTCTCTCCCAATCATTCACAACTATATGACGAATCTTCAAGTCGTCACTTATACCCTAATAAATAAAACATATGTTAGATGTATTTATTCAGATTTAGGAAAACACCATCCAAAGCAGTGGCAGATGAAGCCTAGTTAAAAGAGTACCAACATTGAGAAAAAGTCGTCATGCCACAGATTTTAACGATTGAAGAGAGCACAAAGCTAACATTATGTAACATATCCCACAGAATAGACAACAATCTATTTAATTTGTTTATGTAACAGTAATTTCTTACAGTTACCACTTTGTGATTTCAGTTTCTCCAAATGGTGATTCAATTCTACTATTTTTCAACTCGTCTCAGCATTATTAGAAAAAAAAAAAAAATCTATCTTTAAAGAGTTAAGATTGACATAATTATGTTGTGCACTATCACCAATAGATAATGCATTTTTCGCAAGCCTCACCCAAGCCCTCACATTCACACGTGGGAAACTTTTTACTGCAGTCTGCAGTTGGTAAACAAGGATCGGTTTTTACCAAGGTACAGAATGTATCGTCCAATATTCAAATAATTCCACAAAATCTAGTTTCATTCAAGTAACTGCTTCTAACTAACTGAAAGGATCTTCTAATCAATCCAGAGATCATTTGGATTCCATTAGTAATGAGGATTCGGGACATCACACATTGATCAATCCAACAAAGATTCGACAACTAAAAGAAATAGCGATTCTTTGGGATATATGATGATATGCAACCGTTAGGTGTGAAATAGTGCACTGGATTATCAGCTTTCAACATGAATTGTGCAAATTGAATAAATCATATCATATATATAATAAATTTGCAAAGTTGATAGTAAAAGTAATCATAGGTTGTAGGAAACCTTCTGTTGACTACAAATGTAGAGCAAACCAAACCCAAGAAGTCCATGAAATGAGCATACATGGAAATTAGGATATTGCACACGAAAAGGATAGAGGCAATAGAAAAATATATCACAAGCACGTGATTCATGAGACATTGATGACAGCAGCAGCAGCAACAACACAACAACAATATGATTAGATAATTTTGGTCAAGATGGTTTATGTTAGACAACCCAATGACAGTAAAATGCTTGATCTCTCACGTCCTTCCCCAAGACCTTACTGTGAGAAACTTGAACCCAAAGGATAATAGGACTTGAATTTAGATTTTTCTAACATGATATCAAAGCTTTGATCCTATAAGGTATTAGATTAAATGGAAAGACTTGAACCCGAGACCTAATAGGATCAAAGCTACCCAAAAAAGTTAAAGCTATTTAGGATTTGGGCCAAACAACACATATCAAGCCATTGTACCCTCCCTCACACCAGACCCCCTTCTCATATGTCAACAAACAGATGAATCAAATAGGTTGCAAATGTACTAACATACAAACAAGGTGCATGCAGTAAAAATATAATAGATGCTAAGCGAAAAGCATAATGGTGGAAAAAATAAACACACGGAGACTTGAAAGTCCTACCAAAACTAATCTTTGATGCTATGTTAGACAATCATCTCCTCTAAATGCTCAAGTTTAACCACTTGTCCACTGAATAGAGATCAACATGGTTCATGTTGAACATGGACGTGAAAAATATTTTCTAAGGTAGTGAAATAAGACTCGATGGCCTACACAACAGAAGCTAACCCACAAACAGTGCAATGGGCAAACAGAACTTTTGCATCTGATATTGAACAGTTGGAAAAAAAAAATAAAAATAAATAAAAATTTTGCTAACATGAGAATATGTACAAAATAAATCTACTATGGATGTGGAACATCCTCCTCAGATCTAGAATTCATAATGGATTTTGTAAAGAAGCACTTCATTTAGTGAACCAAAAGCTTCTTTTTTTTGGTTGTTACAATCACTCACCTCTGCATCAAAACCCAAATGAAGATGCATAAATGATTCACATTGAGGGGTCATTTTGATCCTGCCCTGGTATGACTTTGGAATGACTTCCTTAGGTAATAGATCCAATGTGTCCCACATAGAAGCATTACTAACAACAGCCTTCTTAGCGCGTACAAATTGCAGCAAATATTTATTTTTATCAATTAATGAATAAGAAAGAAATATAATTCAATCTGAATGACAAATTCTGTAATTTTGCCACACTAAAATCATTTACTCACTTGACCACTTCTTAGCTTTACTCCCACAGCTCGACCATTTTCAACAACAATATTTTCCACATGACTCTTGAAAGAGACCCATCCACCAAATTTCTGTAGGCCACGGACAAGAGCATCAACAACTGCCCCAGTTCCATGAATGGGATACTCCAGACTGTAACCTGGCTTGTACCATTCTGCAAACATGTATACCAGAAAAGATTGAAGCACAAAATTATTATGTTATCAATAAAATAAGCAGCACAAGCATACTTATATTTCATAATCATACCACAGTTCAAAAAAAATAAAGAAAAAACCTTGATATGTAATAGTTACCATCTCTGCCGACAGTATACCATTAGATTTCACCCGTGAGCAAGAAAACCAGAAGATCTATCCAATTTCGTATAAAAGGCTCTTTCAGCTCCAATGAGTCAACTATGTCTCAGAAGGGTCTGAGAAGCTTTGTAGCACTAAGGGCTCCCTGAGGTCCCATTTGGGCAAAGGATTTCAAGAGGGAGGGGGCATATCTAGTTGCAGCAGTGGATAGAACACCCCAATCACCTTGAATAGATAAAGGTGGCAGAGCCATTGTAGCTGCAGACATTGGCAATATTGCATCCTGTACAGAAATGCATTTTATATTCTTGATAAGAGCAATAATAGGGAATCATGAAGGCAACTTCTGCAAAATCACGTATCCAGGATATTGGGCAATCTGTTAAATCATTTTTTTGTGATTCGGCCTTGAGCTTTTAGCTTGATATATTGGACAACCTCAAA